CAGAGGGAGAAGCAGACTCCCTGCCGAGCAGGGAGCCCGATGCGGGACTCGATCCCAGGACTCCAGGACCATGACCTGAGCCGAAGGCAGTCGCCCAACCAACTGAGCCACCCAGGCGCCCTGTACTCCTTATTTTCATCTCTTTTTTTTTCCCCCCCAAATTTTACTTCACTTGACATGGAAACCCATATATATGTGCACATGGGTGACCTAAGTGAAATTTTTGTGAAAATTTAAAAGGTTGGCCTTAAGGTCAGCTTAACTCCCTCCCTGTGTATACTCTATTATGAACTGTTTATCTAACCTTTCTAACAGAGACTTTTGTTTTAACGAGACTTAACTTGTATATTGATTCTGCCGTGTGGACTCAAACTGGTTTTTCAGGTGTTTCTTAATGTATTTTATGTTGTCATATCTGTTTTATAGCTGCCATTTCTGTACTTATCCCCAAATGTATGCAGCCTCTAAAATGAGGTACTTACATAAATGTTCAGGGAAAATTGGAGCATCTGCTGCAAATTTCCATTAGCTCTTAATGCCTGAGCAGACACAGCTTTTAAAATCTGAATGTTTTGTCAGTTTCTTTTGTATTAGTCTTTTTCTTCAGATAAGATGAACTCCTCCTCCTCTTCATTTCACTTTCTTTTTAAGGTTACACACTGAAATATCCACAGGGAGCAATTTGCACTGCTCTCTTTCCTATTCTATCATTAAGTAGAAGAGGGATAACATGAATCAACTTTGTAACCCTGTGGGTATGCAGTCTGTTGAGCAAATATTCACTTGTTAACCTGCAGACTATCAATCAGCCTACATGGATGTCACATTTCATGGAGAAGGAGACCTTAGATCTACACTAGACCACCAGATCTTGTGCAAGAAATTAAATGTCCAAGGATTCCTGTTATTAACAATTACTTAACCAATTTGCATTTGACAATTGTTAGGAAAGAAACAAAGCCTTAAGTGAGTGACCTTAAAGGGAAATCAGTAGTCACAGAAAGAGCCACAGCGCCCTTTGGCCTAAAAATGTGAAACTCTCAGGCAGTAAAATGACTTACGAAGTCACAAAGGATTTTCCTAAAGAAACAAATTGTTCCCGTACTGGTCCCTTCTTTAGTGACTTAAGATTGAGTGTAGAGATTTAAAAATACTGATCTTCCTACTTGACAAAGATGGAAAGGAACTCCATAGTCTTTTTAGAGGTAATGCCCTCAGGTTGTTTAAGGGAGAGAGTGGCTAAAGGACCAATGGTCTGGGTGCTGGGGTAACAGTCAGTCACTGTTGTAATGGCTATAGAATGCATTCCCTGCCATGAGTGCAGTTGGACATGGAAAAGAAAAGAAAGCTGATCACACTGGACAGAATATGGGGGAAGGAGGGAAGAAGTAGTACTAAAGAAGCCGAGAATAAAATGTTTGCATTTTTGCCTGATGTGGACCTAGATATAGAAAGTTTGTGTGCCAGAAAGAGCAGAAAATCAGAGAGGAAAAGCCATCACTGTTGCCAAGAGTAGATATGGGAGGACTGGCACCGCAGCTGGTCAGAGTGCTGGTAGGGTCTAGCAGGAGTTAGGTTTGATCTTGGCAGGGGCTGAAGGGCCCTTCCATGTTGATTCAGCCACCTGGGGGGAGAGAAGCCATTATTCACCTCCTAAAATAAGAATTCAGAGCCTGCAACTGAAGTTTAAGAATAGTATGGTCTTTGGTCTATAGCTGGTGCCACTAAAAATTTTGCTGGCATTTATTGAATGTTGTGAGTAAGACTCCAGAATGCACCTAAAATGTGGAAAAACAAAACTTGTTGCTGGAAAAAAGCCTAAACTGAAAAATGTGATCCAAGTCAACAAATTAATCTCACTTTGAGCCAAAGGAAATGTTTGAAATGAAAGTACTGCCAGGAAATAGAGGATTCAAGATTTAGGCAGAAAGATATTGTGAGTATTTTTTGTTTTGTAACTTCCTTGGCTGTAATGCATTGCTAGAACTTACAGAGAACCCCTTTTAAGGACTTTGAATATTTAGACCTGAAACGCAACTACGATATCAGTTGTTTTCCTTCTCTGATGCCCCTTTCCCTTTCAGGAAAAAAAAAAAAAATACATGCGTATGAATAGTAGTTGACCACTAATAAGGCCTCTAGGAAAAAACCACAGCATAGTTTGTGGTTTATCTTCAGGAAGATAAATCGAAGGAAGTAAAAGAAGGAACTAGATCATTGCTTTTATGTAGTTTCGTTTGCATAGTACTTCTCAAAATTCACTCTGCCCTTTACAAGAGGTTCATGACTATATTTTCATAATTCCAAAGATTTGGGGAGAAAAAAACAAATTTATGATTTTAATAATAAAACTACAATTATACTTGGTATAAGAAGTTGTCTCCCAAGAGTTGTGTCGATCATGTGTTGGCTTTACAGAGTGGTATTTTGTAGTAACTTGAGGTGGTTCCACATGCCCTGGTAATGCCTGTGTTCCTTCAGTCAAGGAATAGGAGTCCTGATTTTGGCATTGGGCAAAAGAGAGGGAGTACTGATTGGGCCCAGTTAGATGTCTAGGGGAAAGAAAGTGAAGAAAAAGGAGATGCAAATTGTTAGTCATTTTCAAAGAAAGAAATGGATGGAAAGATCATCATCAGTCTTGATATAGGGCACTCCAAAGAGAAGTTGTAAACAATTGAAGTCTCTGTTGGGGATAGCCAGGTGTACTGATAACGGAGCTCCCAGGTCAGAGGATACGGAGATTGGCTTAAACTCTTAGGATTAGCTTTGATTTCCTGTAATTACATACCTGGGATACCTATAACCTGGTCATTTCTTTCTGTTGTATATTATCCTTTCTAGATATGGAAGAAAGCAGCAGTGTTGCCATGTTGGTGCCAGATATTGGAGAACAGGAAGCTATATTGACTGCTGAAACGGTCATCAGTTCATCATTGGAAATTGATGAACAAAGAAAAGTTAAAACAGATCCATTGATCCATGTAATCCAGAAGTTAAGCAAGATAGTAGAACATGAAAAGTCACAAAAATGTCTTTTAATTGGGAAAAAGCGCTCACGTTCAAGTGCTACAGCGCACTCTCTTGAAGCCCAGGAACTTTGTGAGATTCCAGCTAAAGTAACCCAGTCACCTGCTGCCGAGATTAGAAGGGCTGAGATGTCACAGATACATTTTACCCCTGGCTCTCTTGCCCAGAATGATGGGAAGGCTATGTCCTACCAGTGTAGCCTTTGCAAGTTTCTGTCGTCATCGTTCTCTGTGTTAAAAGATCATATCAAGCAGCATGGTCAGCAGAATGAAGTGATATTAATGTGCTCAGAGTGCCATATTACATCTAAAAGCCAAGAGGAACTTGAAGCTCATGTGGTAAATGACCACGAAAACGTTGCCAACAGTCGCACTCAGTCCAAAGCCCAACATTGTATAAGCCCCTCCAACTCTCAGAGACCCACAGAAAGAAAGAATGAAACCACTTCTGATATCGCCTTGAGTGCGGACAATCTGCAAACTCATACTGCCCAAAATGCATCCGTGAAGGAGATGGGTAAGAGGAAATGGTATGCATATGAACAGTATGGCATGTACCGATGCTTATTTTGTAGTTATACCTGTGGCCAGCAGAGAATGTTGAAAACACATGCTTGGAAGCATGCTGGGGAGGTTGATTGCTCCTATCCAATCTTTGAAAATGAAAACGAGCCCCTAGGCTTGCTGGACTCCTCAGTGGCTGCTGACCCTGGTGGGCTAGATGCAGTAGTCATCGCTATTGGAGACAATGAACTGAGTATCCACAATGGGCCTTCAGTACAAGTGCAGATTTGCAGCTCAGAAACACTATCCTCTTCGTCTCCTTTAGAACAGAGTGCAGAAGGAGGAGTTCATCTTGGTCAGTCAGTTACTCTTGACCCTAACGAGGAAGAAATGCTAGAGGTGATTTCTGATGTGGAGGAGAATCTGATTGCTGATAGTCTACTTTCATCTGCACAGAAGATCATTAGTAGCAGCCCAAATAAAAAAGGTCATGTTAATGTGATCGTGGAGCGTCTGCCAAGTGCTGAAGAAACTCTTTCACAGAAACATTTCCTCATGAATGCTGAAATCGAAGAGGGAAAAAACCTGAGCCCGACAGAATCCCAGATTGGGTGTGAAGGAAGAGATGAAGTTTATCGTGCTGATAAATGTACTGTTGATATCGGGGGGCTGATCATAGGCTGGAGTAGCCCAGAGAAGAAAGACAGTGAGTTAATAAACAAAGGACTGGCTGCTGATGAGAATGCCCCACCAGGCCGAAGAAGAACAAATTCTGAGTCTCTCAGACTACACTCATTAGCTGCAGAAGCCCTCGTGACGATGCCTATAAGAGCTGCAGAACTGACAAGGGCCAACCTCGGGCACTACGGGAATATAAACCTTTTAGATCCAGACACCGGACAAAGGCAAGTAGATAGTACATTGGCAGCATATTCTAAAATGATGTCACCACTCAAAAACTCTGCAGATGGATTAACTACTTTTAACCAAAGCAACTCTACGTTGGTAGCACTCCCAGAGGGTAGGCAGGAATTGTCAGATGGGCAAGTTAAGACAGGCATCAGCATGTCCTTACTGACTGTCATTGAAAAGCTGCGGGAAAGGACAGACCAAAATGCTTCAGATGATGACATTTTGAAAGAGTTGCAGGACAATGCCCAGTGCCAACCCAACAGCGACACGAGCTTGTCGGGAAGCAGTGTGGTGGAATACATCCCCAATGCCGATCGGCCCTACCGTTGCCGCCTTTGTCATTACGCCAGTGGAAACAAGGGCTACATCAAGCAGCACTTGAGAGTCCATCGGCAGAGACAGCCATATCAGTGTCCCATCTGTGAGCACATAGCTGACAGCAGCAAAGATCTGGAGAACCACATGATCAACCACTGTAAAGCAAGAATATACCAGTGCAAGCGGTGTGAAGAATCTTTTCATTATAAGGTAAGCATCAGTTATGAAATCACTCCGAGGACCTGAGAATTTTTAGAGCCAGGAGGGAACCCAGTAGAGAGAGCCCAACCACCTCATTTTATAGATAAGGAAACTGAGACCCAGAAAAGTTGGATAATTTGCCCAGGGGATCCCAACTGAATTAGTATTAAAATTGGGACTGAAATCTGGGTCATCAGAATTTCTGGTGTAGGATTGTTTTCCCTGTCTACCGCCTCAACAGTTTCTGTGTTTACTGCTTTAGTTTTAGCGTGGATATCTTTTTTTAAAAATGTGTTGATTTTAAATCGCAGGGTAATTATAGGGGAGTGTACAATGGAGGAATGTACACACATTTGATTTACACAAATGTAATCCGACATCATCAGTGCAAAAAAATAGCTTTTTTTCATCTTCCGTGGCCCCAAAATATAGGTCATTCATTTCAGCGACACAACCAGCCAATAGCAATCTGTGTCATTGCAGGAGGAAAAATAACCTGTGTTGGACTTAATGAAAGACAGCAAAGTGGAAATAGAGCCACATGTGTTGTTTTATGGGCAGTTTAAGGGACTTTCAAGGATTATTTTGACTGCTTTTCATCTTATATGCTACCTTAAAACCAACAACCAGCATGAGATACTGTTTTGGTAAAGGAAACTGGATTAATTGAATCATTAGTTTTGAACTTTTCTTCTCCAGTGTGCCAGTTGACTGTTGGGGGGGGGGAAATGTCCTAAGAGGGTAACCAGGATGTAGACTTTTTCCCTCAGATTTCCCAGAGTTGGGGGCTAGCTGGTAGTAAAAAGGTAATCAGGAATAAAAAAGCCTTTGAGTCTGAGATTCACTGCCTACCTGGATTGCCCTCATGGAATTCTAAAGTGGCCTCAGGCTACTTGACAAGCAGTGCATCCAAACGGGCAGCAAAAGCAAGTTCCAGAAGTTTCTTCGGCTCCTGCATTTTTGATTGGTGGGGGTGGAGGAAGAAGATACCGTGGAGGAGAGGTTCCACTTAGGTCTCTCTTACACATTTAGTTGATATTGAAAGGCAAAAATTAGCAGGAGTCCAGCAGTTACTGTTTGGATTTATTTTTGTGAAAGTATTGGGTTATTCTGAGTTCCCTGCTCTTCCCTCCACTGGCAGGCCGGTATGTAAGTAAGTATGCACATGCCATTCATAAGCAGGGGATAGCAAGGGATTCCTCTCAGAGTATGCGAGAAGAACTGCCTTTTTGATGAGATTGTGATTTCCCTGGTGTATTTCTTCTCATAAACTGTCAAATAAGTCAGGTAATCTTTTAGCACATTTGATTTTAAAATACTGGTAATGTGTTCTAGGTACTAGGCCGTGAAAGCAATTAACTGCTTCTACAGTCTCTTAGTAACAGTGCAAGTACATTTATTGAAGGTTACATGTGAATATTTCTCAATTTTTTAGAGTCAACTGAGGAACCATGAGAGAGAGCAACATAGTCTTCCAGATACCTTGTCAGTAGCAAGTTCTAATGAGTCGAGAATTGCCGGTGATACAGCTGATGGAAAATGTGTTCAAGAAGGTATCGTGCATTTTTTTTGTACAGGCTGCATGACCAGCATATGAAGTTTTCATAAAAAGCCCTTAGTTGTCATGTGGGTTAATTTCAGGACTAAAGCTGCATATATTCTCTCTTTTCACACTGCGGAGTGAATCTTACCTATGTTCCTGAGGATATCCTGAGGTACTGAATGCAATACTGTATTAGTAAGTACTCAGCTTCGACAGTGTGGGTAGATAATAGGTTGAAATTTTATGCTGTCCTATAAGAGCCAAGTCCAGCATAAACCCTTGGGTGACATACGAGCAAGCTGGGGAAGCCGCAGCATGGAAAGCAAGCCCTTCCCTCTCTCAGTACCAGTTGACCCACTGAGAACATAGCAGCTTTTGCAGATGACAGGCCCCCACCTCAAACTTTAAGTGAGGCTTCCTGCTGTGATCTTCTTCTTACCCAAGTATGACTGCCAGATTTCATCTGCATTATTTTAAAAAAACACAAAAAAGCACAGGATCTTTTTATGTACTAGTTAGGTACCAGTCGGCCAAGTTTCTGCTAATAGGAATATTAGAATCAAAAGATTTAATTAGAGTTCCATGAAAAGGCGGATGCCACATCCGGAGAATTAGGGATAAAGCGTAATAAACTGTGCTTCCTCGCATCAGCTCTCTTAAATTGATATACTTTAAATGTCTCAAGTGCGATACATAGTGTTTATGGGAAATAAAACATATTGGGGTGACTTTCCTTTTTAGATTTCCTAAGAATTAAAGTTAGAAACAACTGCAGAGTAAAATGTTTTACCATAATGTTTCATTAAATTATACCCCAGAAAGCATAACTGATTCAAGAATGTTTCTGAAAGAACTGATTTTGACACCACTGTAGCACCAAAATTCCCTTGTCAAACAGATGTCATCCCTGTAAAACTATCCAAAACAAAAGGAGTTTATGACATAGCATCTGTTTCTGCAATAGATGGCTGAGCTAAAACAGTTTTGTTTCCTTTTAACAAAATAGCCCTAAGTGCCTCCTTTTATTTTAATTCATTATGTTTCCATATCCCCCTTGAAAGGAGACATTAAAACATTTGATGTCATTGGACCATAAATCCCTAATGAAGGAATAAAGTAAATACTACTCAGTGGCACCACCTGCGGTTAATACTAGTGGTGGAATATGTCTTTTCTAGCACCATCTTCAAAAGCAGTAACTAATAAAACTGTCCAAATGGGTTAACAAATTAGAACTCACAATTTTAATAAAAAAGATTAAAAATGTCAGCTCAGAATTAAAGTAACCAGTTTGAGCTTTACGGCAACAGCATCTGTCCATCATATTCCATTTTACAGCGTCTTTTCTTTGTACATTCTACGCTATTTTTGGGGTTAAATGTATGGATTTTAAATTGCTTTTGCCATGTCTGTTTTTCCCTCACTTTGCTCCATTTACTTTTCTCTGTCATAGTAGTATAACTATGTATCAGATGACTGATAACCTCCTGCATACTTATGCTGATACTTTATTAATTCACTATTAGATCTCTGGAAATCTGGTTGTCGGGCCAAGAAACAAGTGTTTAGCTCACAAAGGTCAAAGAAATTCATGTTTTACTAAAACTTCTTCAGCCATTTAGTAAAGTTAATGAACAAGTTGGGGGATGTGTGCCTTAGTGGTCCCCAGCCTCTGCCCACTCTGATGGCACAGATAACTTGGGACACGTTTTTGACTCCGAGACCCAGCGTAATGGTGTTTCAGACATTCGTTCTGCCAAAAGGCATGGGGTGCCCACCCTGAGCTAGCTGCCAGGAGTCCAGTGAAGGCATCGGTGCCTGTAAGGACCGCAGCTGGGGAGGCAGACAGAATTGTACTGACGGGGATGTCAGGCGACGGCACGGGTGCTCTACTAGAGCCACGGCCAAAGCACTTTCATATGGTGCTCCTTTGTGAAATTGAATTAAATCGTTCTTCATTGCAAACATACAATTCGCGAAGCCCTGGAAGTTCAGCATAAACAAAACACACAGATCTCTGCCCTCAGGGGAGTCTGCAGCTAGGGACAGGTCAGAGATCTGACACAAACATGCAGGTGACACGCAGACTGCGATGAAGGAAGAATAGAGAGTTCTCTGCTCACTAAGTAAACCATGCTGAAAGGTTCTAGAATTTCCATTTTGTAGATCAGAAAACTGAGTCCTCACAAGATAAATTGCTTTGTCCATGATCACCCTGGTACTAGGTGGAAGAGCAAGGACAAAGCCCAGAGTTTTGAACTCAAATCTAATATTCTTTCCGTTGGAAACAGTTGCTTGAAGTAGCATGGGCTCTCATTCTGTGCTATATTAAGTTTTTTCCATCTGTCGTTTTTATTAGTTGTCATTGATCTGTAATATTTCTCACACAAAACCATTATCCAGTATTTCACACTTCATTTTTTCAGGGTTTTTTAAAAAACTGAATTTGGAACAATGCCACTTATAATCAAGTCCGAGTTTTTAACCTACCAATTAAGAGTAATACTTACATTATAATTATGATTAGTGTATATATTAATGTTGTAGACCTACACCAGGAAATTAGGACATTTTTTTCTGCCTGGCAAAAGTAGTTACAGGCAAAAGAAAATTTCAGTTTTAGAAAGCTTAAATTTAACTTAAGGATTTTCTTTGTTTTGTTAAAATTTCAGCGTGGGTTTCTTCTGTGCCACCAATTTTACGATTCCGCACTGTGTGCTAGTGTTCTACCTAAGCTTCCTTCCTGCTCTGCCTTATTCTCCAGCTTTCCATGCTTGCTTTGTTTCTGAATATAAAGCCGTCAGGCTGTGAATGGCCTGCGGTCTTTGTGCTTACAGAAGAGTAAAGAGAGTGTTCAGGAACAGTTTTACATGATCAAGGCATCCAGTTTGTATTTAATCAGGCTTACCCTCATTAAAATTACCCATCCCTGTTGCTGCAGAGTGAGGGTGGTAACATGGCCTCTTTTCCATTGGATCCACGTATTCTGGATTTCAGAGAGTCGTGTATTCACGTTAGTGATAACACTTGTCCTTGTCACCTGCCAGTTTGCTAGTTATGATTATACAACATTATTTAGCACTGAATAATTTGCAGTGGTTTTTCCTTCCTTTGTTGCACCAACAGCTGACTTTCAGTTATAAACAAAGGAAACCCACAGGATAAAAAAGCTTTAGTCTTTTTATCTGGAGTTTGTTATGGAGGCTTTGTAGCCGTACTGTATAATATTGTGTTATAGTATTAAATCACAGCTTGTTGGCAAATCACTGTTTCCTTAAGACAGTGTATCCAGTGTCAATTAGATCAACACCTTTCAGATTAACAGTATATCTCTGGTTAACTCAGCTGCTACACAGTCAGCAGGGCAGCTGGCTTCAAGTTTATTATATTTTAGCATTTTGTACAAGGTTATGCAGAAACTAACCCAATGTATCTATGTTTACAGGTCAGGTGATGTTCAGTTTCTATCTGCTGATAGTCCAGTTGCAGGAGAACCTGGAAAGCCATGTTCAAACTTGTTAACTTTATTAAATGAGAAAGCCTTGATTGAAATGTTAATACTATGTGTTATAAATACTCATTTACAGTGGAAATTATGTCATTTGTATCTAATCAGTGTATATCGCTAAAGCTTTCCAATCCCTTGCCTAGGGACTAAGTCTTCAGTCCAGAAACAGTATAGATGTGATGTGTGCGATTATACAAGTACAACATACGTCGGTGTTAGAAACCACAGACGAATCCATAACTCTGACAAGCCATACAGGTAAGTGTGATGATCCTAGGGTTTTAATGCTTGTATTAGAATATTTTACAGTAAAGAAAAAAACAAATAATTAAAGATTCATAACACTTGTTTAAACACAAGTTAGGTGCAAAGAAACTCGCTGCTGGTTTCCTGAGTGTTGTTTAGTTTGTTCAGGAATATGAACTTTAAGCTTGAGTCTTAGGACAACTATATTCCATCTAGTTGAAATATAGGAAGATATCTACATCTGTCAGTTTGATGTTCTCGGTTTCACGTGGGTATAAATTATCATAGTAATCTTAAGTGCTTAGAGTACATTTCAGTAATTTGGTGGTTTAACTACTCCATATTCCAACAAAAGATGCTTAAAAACTTAAAAGCAATAAAATTCCCCTTGAAAGACTCTTTTTGAAAATTAAGCTATCATTTAATTTAATTTCGTTACTTGATTTTTCACAAAAGCCAAGTCTAATACTTCTTTTCAGGAAATAAAGACATTCTCCCATGAGAGACGATGGACTCTGAAAAACAAACTGAGGGTTCTAGAGGGGAGGGGGGTGGGAGGATGGGTTAGCCTGGTGGTGGGTATTGAGGAGGGCACATTCTGCATGGAGCACTGGGTGTTATGCACAAACAATGAATCATGGAACACTTCATCTAGAACTAATGATGTAATGTATGGGGATTAACATAAGAATAAAAAAATAAAATAAAATAAATATAAAAAAAAGACATTCTCAGGTGATCAAGATAGAAACCATTATTTCTTAAGTACACTTCAGCTCTTGAGAATAAGCTGCGTGTTCATGTAGTAAAGGTACAAACATTTTTGCAGAAGTTTGTCCAGCTGTCACAGAGCAATCTGTTCCACTTGCAGCCGTGACGGAATACTAGGTTCCTGCTCAAAGCTGAGCCCGTCACCATGACTAATTGCGCTAGGCCACGGACATGAACTTTTTTAATGGCTTATCAAAACCTGTTTCGCTTTTTAACTTCTCTCCTCAGTCTTTATATAGGTATGACACGAGTGAGTGTGGGAAATTCCCTTGTATTAGTAGCTAAGTGAAAACTTGACAGACTGTGCCTGAAAATGCTGTTATTTGATGCTGTAGTGTATGTCTGTATATGTATGGTTTTAAATTTATAACATTTGTTTAGTTTGCAAACTTATTTATAATCACTCTTCAGACAGTATATTCATTTGCAGAGTCTCATAGCTCTATGGAAGGTGTTTGGCCTTGCCTGGGTGTGTTTGTTTTTATTTCAAACATTTTTAAAACTAGGATCCCTAAGAAAGATTTTTCCCCAGAATACAATGAAGGCCATTAACCATTATTAATAATAACTCCATGCCAGAAATTACAGCTGAGGAGTGATAGGTGGTACTTAACATGTATCATTTATGATTTACACTAGGAAGTATTTAGAAGAACATGATGGAAACAGGGAACACTAGTTCATCTGATAAGAGGAGAAAGTTTTGCCTTTATATTTTGGGTATCTTTATTTTTAAATGCAATGACATAACCGTGCCAAATTCATGTGATCCAGGCAAGAATAAAATAACATTTTTGGGGTCTAGAATTAGACTCTTCATTTAGATTCATTGAGAAGTATTTATTGAACAAATACTATGTTCCAGGAGCTGTGTTAGGCTCTTAGAATTTAGTCATGATAAAAAGGATATTATGCCTCTTTCATGAAGTTTATAGATAAACAATAAATAGGTGAACTCTCAAGTACACAATTATGATAAGTATATGAAAGATTCTGGGTTTGTAGAGGAGAGTTCCACATCTACCTGAGTAGATTAGTCTTATAGCTTAAAGATGAAATTTGATAGGTTTCGGTGTCCTAGAGTTCATGTTTTCTTATGTTCTTAAAATATTCACAGATTCCTAGGATTGGTTGTGATTGTCCTAGGGTCTTCCTACCAGTGGGCAACGCACGATGAGAACCCTCTTCCTCTTACAACAGAGCGACTTCCGTGTGTTACTTTCCAGGTTTATTCACACTACACTTTGTCACTGGGTTTGGCCTGAGTGCTTACGTCTTAGGAGAAATGTCATATGTCCCCCTCCCTGTAATTATACCCAACATTTTCTCATAAGTCTTATTTTCAAACTGTCAAATCTTGTGACTCTTTTTTTGACCTTCTTTAAATACTTTAAATCCACATGAGATTGTGAATTAACACACTGTATTCTGGTATGCTTCTAGGACTTTCTCTTCCTTGGCAATACTGCTTGCCTTAAGTTAAGCTAGTTAGCATCACCTTCTTGAGATCTAATTTAATCTAAGTAATCACCATAGTCTTTCTAGCTAATTGCATATATGCTTCATTCAGTTTTGCCACCTGTACACTTACTGGTCAGAGTTTGGGCTTCTTTTCTCAGAATCCATGCCCTACACATTTCTGATTACCTACTTTTTGTTAAGAAACATGCTCACCAGGAGCAATGGTGAATTTCTTCCAGAGTTAGAGTGCCTTGTTGTACAACTTCTAGTCTTTGCACAAGGGCAGAACAGGTGCATTGGTATTTTAATGTGCCTGTTAGGTAACAGATTTTCTGCAGTATGTATAACTATTCTTTGCTCTTGCCTTTCCTTTTTATGTTTCCATTCCAGTCCTTCACGGAACCCATTTGTGTGATCTGGGCAGTTCAGCTTCAAGTACTGGTTAAGAGCCCTGGTTCCAGGGGCAGATAGTCCTGGGATTGAATCTGAGCTCTCTGACTTATGGCATTTATTACCTTGGGGAAGCTATTTCACCCTGCTATGCTTGGTCCTATCTTTTCTAAAATGAGGATAATTAAGGCACCTGCTTTACAGGACAGGCATGAGGACTAAATTAAATACTATGTGTAACATACTGGCGCAGACTAAGCGCTCAGTAAGTGGTGGCCATCTAATACTCATTGGGCCCAGTTTCAGTCCTCGTCCTCTCACTAATTCATTGTGTAACATCACCTCCCCTACCCCCCCCCCCAAAATGCTATTGACCTCTCATTTCAGAAACAAAGAGTAATCTTGTTTCTGGATAGACAGGCATAGCTTATTTCTTTTACAAGAGAGATGCTACACCCAGGTAGAAATGCTGTCACAGCTGAGGTCCTCGTGCTGTGTTACCTGTCTTAGAGGCAGCCCAGTGTCTTGGGTAGCACTCATGCTTTAGTTTAGAGCCTCAGGCCTGGGTCACACGCCTATGCCTAGCTGGGTGACCTTGTGGATGTTATTCCAGGCTTAGCCTTACTTTCCCATTTGACACTGGCGAGAATACTGCCTACCTCATAAAGCTTTGTGAGGACTGAATGAGGTCATATGTATTAAACACACCAGCATGTTTCCTAGTGCGTCAAAGGGACTGGTTTTCTCCTGCTGCCCCTGCGCCTGTATGGTCATCTCGGAAACTCTTGTCCTTGTCACAGAAGGAAGAGAGCTATTTGCCATCCTGTGTGTGAGGACAGGGAAAGATGAAAAAGGCATCATCCCACCCCAGTCCTACCAAATGCAGCAAACTTGGTTTTTCAGTGCTTCATTAAGGAACTTCTGTGTAAACCACATACCTGATGTTTATAACATTGACCCCACAGTTAAAGGGCTCCATTCAGAATTTTCAAATAGAATATCATCCTGTTTAGTTTAATATTGCAGTTTTAGAATTCCCCCTGGTTTACATCCCCCAATATCACTTTTGTGACTGACTGGCTGGAGATGGAAGATGGGATGACAACACATTCTCCTGAAGTTACCAAGTTTCCTTCTAACTGTCTAACATTGAGCTATTCTCCCTTGGAAACACACTTGAGGGGTACCTGGGTGGCTCATTCAGTTGAGCATCTTGACTCTTGATTTCAGCTTGGGTCATTATCTCAGGGTTGTGAGAGCGAGCCCACGTCGGGCTCTGCACTGGGCATGGAGCCTGCTTAAAATTCTCCCTCTCCCACTGCCCTCCCCCCCCCAAAAAAATTAAAAATTAAAATAAAAAAATAAACACACTTGTATTGGTCTTTATGTTTTGAAACTACACCATGGCATGGCGAGAGGTGGTAGAGGCAACATGACAAGGAATTGTCTTTGGACTAAAGTACTCGGTACACTACCTGGCGTGTATTAGGTTCTCAGTAAGTATTGACTGATAGTTATCTGTAAACCTCAGTTTTTCTTACCTATGAAATGGCTCTGGTTCTATTAAGTTGATTGTGTTTTGAAAATAAATGTATAGTGGTGTTACTATGCTTTTTCTTCTTAAGGAGAAGAGCTGCCCAGATAGGTATGTTGAATTTTTTGAGTCCAGTTTTAGTACCTAGGCCAAAAATACCTAGTACTTCCCTAAATGTTTCAAATATACTTTCAAAGTTAGTTTGTTCAAATCAGGAGCTAAACAAGGTCCAAACATTGCATTTGATTGATAAGGCTCTTAAGTCTTTCTCTCTTTAAAATTTTTAATACTTTATAATTTAAGGTAGTATATATCCTGAAAATTACATAAACTGTAAGTGTACAGCTTGATGGATGGGTCACAAATTAAACTGCTCCTTTTAACTACTCAGACCAAGAAATAAGCCCTTGCCAGTTCCTCTGCGGCGCCCTCTTCTTGGGGCCTTGGGGCCTTCCAGGCACTGACAGCCTTTCTCCTCCCCTACTCCCTCACCCTCTACCCCCTAACCATCTTCACTTGGGTCACAACCCTGAGATCAAGACCTGAGCTGCTATCAAGAGTCAGGTGCTTTAACTGACAGACCCACCCAGGCGTTCAGTTGACTTTTAACATCATAAATTAGTTTTGCCCTTTTTTGAACTTAATAGAAATGAAATCATACAGTACATATTCTTTTTTTTTTTTTTTAAGTTTATTTAAGTAAGCTCTACACCCAGCATGGGGCTGGAACTCACAACCTCAAGATTCTTTTGACTGAGGGCGCCTGGGTGGCTCAGAGGGTTAAGCGTCTGCCTTCAGCTCAGGTCATGATCCCAGGGTCCTGGGATCGAGTCTCTCATCGGGCTCCCTGCTCAGTGGGGAGCCTGCTTCTCCCTCTCCCTCTGCTGCTCCCCATATTGTGCTCTCTCTTTCTCTCTCTCTCTCTCTGAAAATAAATAAAATATTAAAAAAAAAAAAGATTCTTTTGACTGAGTCAGCCCAGCACCCCAGTGCACATTCTTTTATGTCTGGCTTTTTTTAACTCATCATCACTGTGTATAATTTAATGTGGTATAAATGCATTCCTTTTCATTGCTATATGATATTCCATTGTAAGACTAGCAATTTATTCATTCTACTAGTGATATTTGGATTATTGCCATATTTTCCCCTTATTGCAAATAATGCCTTTTGAACATTTATATATATATATATATATATAAGATTTTCTTGATTTATTTGAGATAGAGCATGAGCAGGGGCAAGGGGCAGAGGGAGAGGAAGAAGCAGACTCCCCATTGAGCAAGGAGTCCGATGGAGGGGCTCAATCCCAGGACCCTGGGACCATGACCTGAGCCGAAGGCAGACACTTAACCAGCTGAGCCACCCAGGTGCCCCCGAACATTGTTTTACATGGTTCTCGGTGTATATATAAAACAAGGCCATTTTCATTGGGTTTATGCCTAGGAGCAGAATATCTGGGTAATAGGGCATGCATATATGTTCCACTTTGGTAGATACTCTCAGCATTTATCCAAAATGTACAGTGGCTGTACCAGTCCATATTCTCACCAACACTTCATATTGTTAGTCTTTAATTTTGATCATTCTGGTAGATGTGTAGAGGTATGTTGTGGTTCTGATTTGCATTTCCCTGATGATTTATGGGGTTGAGTATCTTTTCATTTGTTTGTGTGCTATTGTCTATTTCTTTATTGGGTTGTCTGCCTTTTTCTTACTGATTTGCAGCAGTTCTGTGTTCTGAATACAAGTTCTTTGTTATGTATATTGCTGATATCTTCTAAACTGCGGCTTGTTTTTCTGCTCTCTCGGTGATGTTTTTGACAAACTTTAATGTAGTCAAATTTATTAATCTTATTTTTTATAGTTAGGACTTCTGTGTCCTTATACTCTGAAACTGATGTCAGTGTTTTTGTGAAAATGTGTGCTCATAGAATAATGATTCTGATTTTCAGGGGTGCACATCAGCTGGGTCTAAAATATTGTGTATTTTTGTATTAATGAGCCTAGTTTTCTAATATGGCAATAAAACTAAAAATACCAAAAAAAAAAAAAAATCCAGGAAAGTTTTAAGCAATGGGAGTAACATTTTGGAATGGTAAGGTTACCACTTCAGTCATTGAATAAAGCCTGATCTTTCTATAAATCTAAAAATATTAGAAAGTATAGTAACGGTTAACATTTTTTTAGAACATTTTTCATGGGCCAAGCAGTGTGCTAAGCACTTGATTTTTGTCAGCTCACTTTTAATCCTTATAATAGCCCAGTACTTAGAAATATTACCAATTTCATAGATGTGCAAAGAGGAACTGGGTAGATAAAACTTTCCCCAGGTCTCTCAAGTCTCGGGTATGCCAGAAAACTGTGAGGCCTACCACCACTGCATGCCAAACCACCCCCAATTTAGTGGTATAGAACAGCTGCAGTTTTATTAAGCTCAGGGATTCAGGAAGAGCACTGTAGAAATGGCTTGTCTGTGTTCCATTGGGCCTGGGGCCTTAGCAGCGCAGACTTAAAGGCTGGAGTTGACTCCATCTGAGGGCTCCCTCACCAGTCTAGTGGTTGATGCTGGCTGTTGGCTGGGGCCTCGGCCAGGGCTCTCAGCTGGAACACGTGCACGATTTCTCCATGAGGACATCCCAGCTGTGGTAGTGCCCCAAAGTGAATGAATGCTCAGATTACAAGTAGGCAAGCACTGTATTACCTTTTATGACCTACCCACAGACCATCACTTCCACCAGTTATAGACTTCTTCAGTCTCTCTTAATCTGAAGGCATGTTGAAGTTCAGTCAGTTTTCTTGGCTTGGGGAAAAACTCAAGTCTTTTAAGGAAACATAGCAGATAGTTTAATTTGAAGGAAAACAATATGTTTTGTTTTAAAGGGTTGGACCAAAGGAGTTTGTTTTTCACAGTGGTATAAAGACTTCTTGGGTTCTTCACAAAATTTGGCCACTTCTCTGAACCTTCGTTATTCCTTTGAAAACATAGGAAACAAATGTGGTAAGACAAACCCTACTGCAGAATTTTTTTATCGAAATCTTTTTGTGCATATTCAAATCCTACTCATATCACTTCAAATCTTGTAGAACATCCAGGTTCTGCTTTCTTCTGCCTGATCCCTCAAGGCAGTTGTTCCTAATTGAATCAGACCTGGAGTGAGGTCCAAGTAGAATCCAAGACCAGGGAAATAGGGTGTTTGAACCACATTCTTATTTTCCTGGGGTTCTGGGACTAAAGTAACTGACCCACGAGCAATAGAAGAAAGCCTATAGAAAAATTCAGTCTTTGGTTTTTTAGCCAGATCGTGAGAAGCATTGGGTTTTCTTATGTGTGTTTTTTCTTTTTTTTAAGATTTTTTATTTATTTATTTAACAGAATTAGAGAGCACAAGTAGGTGGAGTGGCAGGCAGAGGGAGAGGGAGAAGCAGGCTCCCCGCTGAGGAAGGAGGCCGATGCGGCGCTCGATCCCAGGACCCTGGGATCATGACCTGAGCCGAAGGCAGCCCCTTAACCAACTGAGCGACCCAGGCACCCCGATGATGTGTGTTTTTTTCTACACCAGGCAGTTAACTCAATTCTCAGCAGATACTGACTAGGTGAGGGGTCCTACAAATTGAATCTTGGAGATAGCATCAGATCCCACTGGTTAAGGGTTAAGACTGTCCCCACTTCCACGTTGTCACCTGTGCTCCTAACCAACTGACCATAAATCAGAGGTTTGCTAGACCAGCTCACAAAACTCAGGAAACCAGTTTACTTACATTTACCAGTTTTGTTTTGTTTTTTTAAGATTTTATTTATTTATTTGCAAAAGAGAGAATGAGAGAGCACGAGAGGGAAGAGAGTCAGAGGGAGAAGCAGACTCCCTGCTGAGCAGGGAGCCTGATGTGGGACTCGATCCCAGGACTCCAGGATCACAACCTGAGCCGAAGGCAGTCGCTTAACCAACTGAGCCACCTAGGCGCCCACATTTACCAGTTTATTTTGAAGCCTATTATAAAGGATACAGATGAGCAGCCAGATGAGGAGGTTCACAGGGCAAGGCCCCAGAGGGGCAGAACTTCCGTGCCCTCTCTGGGTACCACTCTCCCAGCACTTTCACGTGGTCACCAACCCGGAAGCTCTCAGAACATCCTTTTGGGTTTTTATAGAGTCTTCATTACACAGTCAGGATTGGTTCGATCTCCAGCCCCTCTCCCCAGGAAGGAGAGACTGAAAGTTCCAAACTTCCAGTCCCATGGTTGGTTCCTCTGGCAGCCAGCCCCCATCCTTAAGTTACTTGGAAAGGTTCAGAAGGTCGCCTCATTAACATAACAAAAGACACAGTGGGGGTGCCTGGGGGGCTCAGTCAAGCCTCTGCCTTGGGATCAAGCCTGCTTGGCGGGGAGCCTGCTTCTCCTTCCCCCTCTGCCTGCCTGTCTGCCTACTTGTGATCGATCTCTCTGTCAAATAAGTAAATAAAATCTTAAAAAAATAATAAAAATGTCAGCATCTAATATTGTTATAGGAAATACCATAAGACACAAAACATTGTCCAACTTTAAAAAAAAGACGGTGATCGCTCTCCTCACTTAGGAAATTCCAAGGGTTTTGGAGCTCTGTGCCAGGAATGGGGACAAAGACCAAATATGTATTTCTTATAAGAAATAACAGTGTCATGGGTTTCTCCATTGGCTTTCTTTTGGTTGCCAAAATAGCTTTCTTGCAATGGGAAGAAAT